GGCCTTTTAAAACCTTTAATAATCCCACCTACTATATAAAATAAACCACCAGCCATACATAACAGTCTATCTCTTGTCTCCAGTAAAAACATTGATCTTATAGAAAAAACAACAATTAATCCATGAAATATGTAGATTGTAATATCAATAAAATTAAACATTTTACTACAAACAAATAGTTTTAATATTCCGACAGTCGCTATAAACCAAGATATTTTGATCAATCTACCAATATCATTAATCAACTCACCATCAACTGTTTTATCAATCATTATTTTAAATATAATAGTTTGAGTAGCAGATATTAATAGAAATATACTTGAATGATCAAATAATCTAATAATTTGACGTAATTTATATTCTAAATAATTGACATGATAAAAAGAAGATAATCCAAACTGTAAAATTTGTATTAAGAAGTATAACAACACATAAGAATCATTGTTTGTTACTTCACTAAACAAGTTTAGATGAGGTAGAATTATAATTAAAATACCTATTGTAATTAACAACCCCAAAGCATGAACATAACCCCTAAATACAGGTCTGTGTTTAATCATAGAGGTGTTAATACACTCAACATTATTAATAAATTGTTTCTTATTCTTTTTTCGTTTATTCAATCTTTTAAGTTTTGATTTTCCAGTCATAAAAATTACATAAAATTTTTTACAAAATTAATTTGATCAAAATTAGAGTAAAATTTTTAAATAAAAAACCTTCCTAATAATTTTATTCCAAATTACTCAAACGTAGAAAACGAGTGTTTACACATCAAACAATGCTTATCATTATTAATTTCAGTTTTTCTAGGAACTCTGTAACAGATAGGACAGTATTTTTTATTTCTGATAAAAGCTTTGTGACAAGACCAACAAAAAATAATCCTATCATAAGCAAGAAGCTCATACTCCGGTTCATCATTACAACTACTTCCCAATTTAGACTCATTTCTGCTTTTAAAATTGATCTTAGTAGAACAACCATTACACAGCATATTGTCGTAATTATTATAAATCCTTGCTTCATAAGCAGCTTTTAGATTAGATTTAAAAGCTCTTTGCTCAGGTGTTAGTTTCTCATAATAGTCCAAATATTCAGGAGTTTCAAAATTAAGTCCGTAGTTCTTCATAAATGACATTTCATTGGTTCTAGAATTATTATCATTTGTTAATGAATCTTTAATATCGTCTTTATCTTCACTATTATCAAAATCACTCTTCATGTTTTTATTCAACATTTGTTTAGACGGTGTTTTTTCAATTTATAATAAATAAAATATTGTAAATAAAAAAAAGACAATTTCATTTGATAATTTTAGAGTTGTGATTTGTTAAAAACATT